TAAGCAACTAGATGCAGTGTCCCTACTCACAAGATATCTTCATTTCTTTGTTCCCCAAAAGGAGAAATTAGCAGCAGAGATCTGAAGTGGTAGGTGAGCACACACACACACATATATATATATATATATATATATGTATGTGTGTGTGTGTGTGTGTGTGTGCTTTCTTACTGGTCATTTTTATTTATATATATATATATATATGTGTGTGTGTGTGTGTATGCGGTATTTAGTGGAAAGTGCTCAATATCCATGATAGTGCTAACATATATGGTTGCATGCAACCATATATTATTGAGGTATGTGTTATTAAAGACTACGGAACTTTCCCCGTTTAATAATCTTTCTTTCTGTTTTTTCATGTTTTCTTGCAAGTTTTTTTTATATTTGGGTCTAAGTTGTTGAAAAATAGACCAGAGTCTTTGGTTTTTTGCTGAGTGTTTTCAGTTGTCATCAACCATCATCATGGTCATATATTTTGATTTAAAGTAGGTTGCTTTTTATTTTTTACAGATAGTATTTTGGGGTATTCAGGCAATGTTGTTGGATTAGTTCATTAGCAATTGGGAGAGGGGCTGGTATTTATTATTTGCAGGATTAGTTATTAAATATGTTTAAGATATTTCTGCCAGTATTAATTCCTATTTTGTATGTTGGGTTTTTGGTTTTTAAATGTGATGGCTTCAATAATTTGTAAGCATTTTTTTTGCAATTGTTTTCTGACCCATAAAGAAGTGTGGTGAAAATGACTGCTCGATATACACTGATTTTTGTTTTCAGTGAAATCCCAAAAACATCCCATAGGCAACGCTTAAGCTTCCCAAAGGCATTTATTGCCTCTGATATTTGGTTAACTATTTCATCATCCAAAGAGTCACTTGAATTGACTTTGCTTCCTAAGTACATGAATGATTTCAGATACTTCGGGTTGTTGTTGCCAACAGTAATGTGAATGATTGGAAAGGTATGGGCAGGTAGTTTTTATACACAAACACATTGTTTAAATTTGTTAAATTTATAAAAAAGTGTTTGATAATGGTGATAGAGTGGTTTCAGATATAAACTGTGGATATAGAAATTGACACGAGAGTGCGTGTTACACATTATGTGATCATATATATATATACGAACTATTACTTAAATTTCATACTCCTGCAATTATCAGTAATTTAAACTTTGTCTCTTTTGGGGTGTGACACTACAAAGTATTTTTGATCTGTTTTAATAACCCAGACACTGAGCACTGTTGGTTACTGTTCAGCTAAGTATTTGCTTTTTGGTCTTTCTTTTTTTTTTCTTACTTTATTAGTAAATTTTCTCTTGGTCACCTTTCATGTTTTACACTGGTTGTACTAACAAACTGTGTGTGTGTGTGTGTGTGTGTGTGTGTATATATATATATATTTGTTTGAATAAAAGACAGACCACGTTAAGATTCCATGTAATAAGCTATTTCACCATAACCCCTTTAACAGGGTTCTGGATCATCAGACTTTACTTCCAAAAAGCTGAAATGAAAATGAAAAGAAATTCACACGTTTTTTACGGACTTCATCAAGTATAACCAAAGTTAACGAAGTGAGGAAGTGAGGTGGGAGAGAGGATATAAGTGTGTCATATGTATCATTTTAGTTTCCTATTTTAACCCCAGTGTGTCGGCTGGATGTTGCTCAAATTTAACGCGTCTCGTCTCTAGATAAAGGTGGTTAAGGGGTGAGGAGATAAGAACTACATTAAAGGGAGACGTTACAATAACCCCAATAAATTACACCGCAGGTTTCATTCAAATTCTCTGGATATCATCCTCCTCAGGTCTACCCATACGGATTACCTAAATTTGCATAAACTATATATATATATATATATATATAAAACATATACTTTTAAGGAATGCTATATTTATGGTTTAAAGTGCTCAGTACCAGGGGTAGGGTAGTGTATGTAAATATAAAAGTGGACATTGAAGTCAACACCCACAGTTTCTGGATATGGACTTCAATGCCTACTTTTCAGTACTTGATATAAAGAAATATAGTTTTAAGGCATGCTATATTTATGGGATAAAGTGCTCAATATAAGATTAGGGCATATGTAAATATGAATATAAAAGTGAATATTGACGTCAACACTCAGAGGCGACAGGTTGCTTCATGCTGGACGCAATCGTCAGAATGTTTATATTTTCATATATATATATATATATATATATATATATATATATACAAGGGTATTGGAATTAAAACAGTTGCAAAATCCACTTCTATATTTCAAAGACCTATTATATTAAGAACTTTAACTAAAACTTGGTAATTGCAGGTTATATCTATTGTAAATACGTTTATTTATCTAATTTACTGTCTTTGTCTTATTTATTTTTAGAATTTAGTAAAATTTAAGCTAAATGCGTGACCTCTCTGATTTTGAAAAAGAGCAAATTATTGGAGCTCGCATGGCAGGAGCCTCGATCACTAAGGTTGCTGAACTGTTCGGTTTTTCAAGAGTTACCATATCAAGACCACTGATGTAATTTGAGAAACAAGGCAAGAAACAAGGCAAGACCTCTAGCAACCATAGCAATTTGGGCCGGACTTGCAAACTTACTGACAGGGACTGACGTGCATTGAAACGCAGTGTGGCAAAAAATCATCGGACAAATGCGACCAAAGTGACTGCTGAGTTGAGTAACCATCTGAATAGTTCAGTTTCTACTAAAACTGTTCAGCGTGAGCTCCATAAGGCTGTATATCATGGAAGAGCCGCTGTGAGGAAACCTTTTCTCTCCACTCGCAACATTAAAAAGAGGTTGAAGTGGTGCAGAGATCACAATGCCTGGTCTGCAGACCAATGGAAGTCATATTCTCAAACAAGTCCAGTTTTTCTTTTCCTAACTTCAAGGTGAGTTTATGTGTGGAGGCAGACCAAAGAAGCTTACAACCCTGACTGCCTTCGTTCAACAGTGAAGCATGGAGGTGGAACAGTGATAGTTTGGGCCACCATATCATGGAAATGGCGCAGTCCAATTGTGGCCCTGCATGGTAGAATAAACAGAAAAGATTACCTGAACATTTTGGGAGATCATGTTCATCCAATGGCCAAGACTTTATTCCCTGATGGTGACTGCATCTTTCAAAATGATAATACATACCGCTCGAGTGGTTAAGAATTGGTATGAAGAGCATGAAAGTGAGCTAGAACACATGGAGCGACTTCCCCAATCTCAAGATATCAATATTATTGTTACATTTGTGGTGCATTTTGGAGCAACAAGTTAGGAGCTGTTATCCTCCACCATTGTGTCGTAAAGAGCTGGAGAAGGTTTCAATAGAAGAATGACTGAAAATTTCTCTGGATGAAGTCAGGAAGCTGTATGATTCCATTCCTAGATGTATTAAACCTGTATGTGAGGCTAAAGGAAGACCAACTCCATATTAAATAAATTTTCTTTGAATTTAACAAGTGTTCCAATTATTTTGTCCAACCCCTATATATATATATATAAAAAGTGTGTGTGTGTAGAATTGGAGGTGTCTTAATGGTTAAGTACATGGAGAATGTAATTAGAAAAACAAGTTCAAACACTGACTGGGATAGTTTAGATTCACTTTGCACTAGTGCCTTTAGTAAAGGCATGAATCCACTTCTCCCTGCCATCTATGAGTAAATAGCATATCTCTTTAGCTCTGTAAAGTAGTCCATCTTGGGAAGCAGCTTGGCACATTGCCCCTAAAATTTAACTTTTTACTAAAATCACAGTGGTAGCCTCACCTCATGTCCCCCCCCCACACCAAAAAAGAAAGAGGCAGTATTATATTCCACAAGGAGGAGTCTGCAGGAATAAACATTTAAATATATAATAAACAGGGACACATGTGTTGGATGAAGTGCATGTCTTCTTGTGGATTTGCATATCTTTTTACAGTATTTGAACTTTATCGTTAGTAGTTAGTTAAATTTACTCTTTAAATTGGTCCTCATGTACACTGATGCAAACAAAAGTTGAAATCGGAGTCAAGTCTAAACTGATTGATATCCCCATTATTCAGTATAAAAAGTGTTGTATAGTGAAATTAACTCTTTTATTCCCAGTGTTTTATAAGCTGTAGTACTAGCGGGTTTTGTTGCTGCTACCTTTATTTCTTCCTGAAATATACATATATAAATAAAGGATTCTACCAATGACATCTGTGTATCTTCCTTTATGACTAAAATAATACTCTTGCAAAATATGGAATTCTAACAAAAATATGAAAAAAATTTATTTAAATAAAAAAAATATAATCCTTATAAAAAATTAACAATATTCTTAAAACAAATAGTGGACAAAAATGAGGGTCTTCAGGTTTTAGGAAGAAGACATTGTGTATCAGGAAACAAATGTTATAATCCCTTTATTAAAAGCCAAATACCTATGCATCTTAAGTGTAAAACCCATTCTCCTCCAACCCAGATAAAAACGTTGGGGAGGAGAGGGGATCTTATTGAAAGATAAGACATATGTTAAAGGTTATGACTATTTGTCAAATCTGTTTTCTGGACTCAATTCTATGCAGAGTATGTCTAAAAGTAACTAAAAAAATAACTCTCTAATCTCAATCCTTATCATATAAACTTGTTTTTCAACTCTTTCTACAATTTTTTTTTTTTTTTTAAGCTTTGGACAGATTTATTGGGGAACTTGTTGAATTCTTTTTTTTTTTTTTTGTCTGAAAAAAAAAAAAAAAAAAAAAAAAAAAATAATATACTGAAGAGCAATTTGTGGCTGAAGAGAAAGAGGGATTAGGGAGGAGGTGGAACAAAGATGCAAACCAGCTGTGAGGTTGAGGATTGATGAAATGAGGAGGTTAGGAGGGGGGGTCTGAAAGAAAAACGGTGGGAGAGGGGGAAGAATGGAGAGAAGAGGGAAAACAATCCCCCACATTTCCACTATCAGAAATGAAGGTGAAAGATTTTGGGGGAAAAAAATAAAATAAATAAAAAAGGGGAAATCTAGAGAAAAGTTGTTAGGAGGAGATAATGGCAAACAAGAGAGGGGAGGAGGCTGTTGCAAAAAGGTAGGAGGTAATGGCAAACAAGAGAGGGGAGGAGGCTGTTGCAAAAAGGTAGGAGGTAATGGCAAACAAGAGAGGGGAGGAGGCTGTTGCAAAAAGGTAGGAGGTAATGGCAAACAAGAGAGGGGAGGAGGCTGTTGCAAAAAAAGGTAGGAGGTAATGGCAAACAAGAGAGGGGAGGAGGCTGTTGCAAAAAGGTAGGAGGTAATGGCAAACAAGAGAGGGGAGGAGGCTGTTGCAAAAAAGGTAGGAGGTAATGGCAAACAAGAGAGGGGAGGAGGCTGTTGCAAAAGGTAGGAGGTAATGGCAAACAAGAGAGGAGGAGGCTGTTGCAAAAAGGTAGGAGGTAATGGCAAACAAGAGAGGGGAGGAGGCTGTTGCAATAAGGGAGGAGGTAATGGCAAACAAGAGAGAGGAGGAGGCTGTTGCAATAAGGGAGGAGGTAATGGCAAACAAGAGAGAGGAGGAGGCTGTTGCAATAAGGGAGGAGGTAATGGCAAACAAGAGAGAGGAGGAGGCTGTTGCAATAAGGGAGGAGGTAATGGCAATCAAGAGAGAGGAGGAGGCTGTTGCAATAAGGGAGGAGGTAATGGCAAACAAGAGAGAGGAGGAGGCTGTTGTAAAAAGAGAGAAAGAAGCAAAATCCCAGGATGGCATTGTTTAAAGAAAGACAAATGACATTTTCAGGAAGTAAAAACACAAATTTGTTACATTTTTCTGTACAATTAACGATGTGAATAACACAAAACAAAGACAATTTTTCCATGCCCCATTGACATTAAGCAAGGAAACTTCAATTAACATTGTATTTTCAAATATTCTAGAACCCAAAGTAATATCTGAGTGAATGTGTTTAATTATAAGTAACAAATATGCATATACAATGAATGTCAAACTTTTGAGTCTAATGACAATTTCTTTGAAGGTTTATTTTGCTGAGTGAAGCTTTACATTGTTAAGATGGAATTTCTTGTGTAATACCGAGATGCTTAAGTTAACAATAAAGTCCTGCAATGTTAGGACTTTGACAGTCAACAATGTCATGTTCCAGCAGGTGCATAGCAAAACCTCTAGCCTTAAGATTGCAATATTTCTCACCCCAATACATCTTAATGTACCGTGTCTCAAAGAATGTCCCATTTAAAGAATCAAAACATTATTATCATAAAACATTTTCAAAAATCCATGCACAATATCAGAGAGGAGAGAAAACAGGAGAATTTTGATACAGACATGGAGATTTATGATGGTACAGAGCTGTCAAGACTGGAATATATTTATTATAGAAATTATGGCATAAGCAAAATAGCACAAGATTGGACAGAGATGATGGACTGATGGTGGGATGGAGGATAAATGAAAAAAAAAACTGCAGATAGATTTAGGAAAGACCTGATAACATTTTTCAAGAGCCATAATTTAAGTGTAGCAGTCATGGCTAATTAAGAGAAGTAAACGTTCATGATGTTAATTTTAATTTGGTAAATGGTGAGTACAAGTTACAAAGAAAACCCAATAACAAGCAGAATTGCATTAATAGTAGCTCAGACATCCACCCCCTCCAAAATAATCGTATATTTAATAAGGCAAACAAGCAATACTAACAAAACTTAAATAGATAGTAATCATAAAAGAGAATTATATAAAACAAGGGAGAAGGTAATAATAAATTCAAAATATAACAATTTAATAAAATTTTGAGGAGTAATGTGCGGAAAATATTTTTTAGATTGATAGATAAACACTTGAAGAAGTCACCCAATCATTATTTAAAAACCATTTCACCCCAAGCAAGGCAACAATGCCACTAAAACGCAAGAGGTTACTAAGAACAGAAGAGAATGACAAAACTTTAGTGAGGAGAAAGGACAATGAAAGAACAGGTTGAGAAAAATAAAATAAAGTAATTGATGTTGTATTTCAAGTTTTGAAGATTGGAGGTGACAGGGAAGCAATTAAGTGCAAGAAAAACTATTAAAATAGAACATACAGTTACATCCAGGTATTTCAACAGTCAAACAATGAGACCTAATTACCAATCTAGTAGTAGGATTTAAATTCATGCAGTTGATTGACCAAGGAAGAGTGCTCAGTAGAACAATTGCCATGAAAATATTTATAGAAATGACAGAAGGAAACCATATTATGGTGGTTGAAAGTGAATAAAGTTGAGATGCCAGGTCAGGACCAGTAACATTACAGACATTTGGAATTTTGTCAAGATTTTCAAAATATATAAAAGGAGCACCTAACCAAATATGGCAACAATATTAATTGCACAGACAAATGATAGATTTATGAATGTGTAAAATGGATTCTGACAAGAAAATTTGTCTGATACTGAAACCAAAAATATTTAATAAGAGCAAATGCAATAGGGTTGCTGGAAAAATATGCAGAGAATACAAAGAACCTCCTAAATTCAGACAGTAGCATAGTTAGATAAAAGAAAACTGCAAGGGTAAAATAAAAAGTTTGGTTTATGGAATATCAACCTCAAAGAGTTATTTCATGCCAACAATTTTTTTTTTTTTATATGTAAATATATATAAATAAAAAACGTATTCTTTGTAACTAAATCAGTTTGTAAGTCAAGTTTTATTAACACTTTTGCAAAGAGAACTTCTGTCGAGAGATAATTCCATTGCTGGTATTATTCCTTCCTTCAATAAAGAATTTCAGGCAAATATTTATTCTCTACATATCCGGTTTCCTAGTCTTATTTCTGCAAATAGGGTTTTTTTATCAACAGCCTGGCTTTGTGGATATTTTTTAAAAATTTTTTTATTATTATTCTCACTCTTTTTATATTTGCTTATAGAGGCCAACCACTTTTAGAAATGATAGTATAACATCCACATTTAACTTAAACAGCTCAAACATTTTATTAGTATTCTAAAATGGCTCTCTTGTGATGTTTAATGGATAATACTGTTTTACATGCTTGGCACATTGGTTAAACTTCCTTAGTAGTAAAGAATGTGTCATTCTTGTATGGTCGATGTGCAAGCCGGCCATTACAACCTCTTCTTTCGAGACTTCCTATAGGATATATTACTTACTCCCAGCTTGGGCTGGATTGCATAGAGTTTATTATGTGGATAATCATCCCAGTATGCTTGCTATTATTTTTAAAATATATTTATTTATCTCCTCCTTAAAATCTGTATATGTGACCTTGATCCCTGTATCTGAATTCATATCCAAAGCTGATTTGCTTGTCAGATCAGCTCTACAGTTACCTTTTATTTCCATGTAGCAAGGGATCCAACATATTACATTATATTTCTCTTTTTGTTAGAATAAAAGGTGCTTGTCCGATGAAAGGTGAATGTCAAAAAAGAATCATTGTTTTAACAGGCAGCAGTTAAGATAATTGGACATAACTAAGAACAAATAGCGTGTTTGTGGGGGTGGAGTGTATAATTTTCAATTACTTAAATCAATCATGCTGCAAAATCTACTCTAAAACTGAGAACTTCTTAGTGATTTAAAAAATTACTAAACAAAAAAAAAAGTAGAGTAATACAGTATGTTTTATATATATATATATATATATATATACACACACACACACTTAACTCTCCCGTCTAATTTGACATATAAGGCTGAAGCAAGTCAGTTCCTAGAAACTGACAGCCAGACTACCCGCACAAATCATTTGATTCTAGTAGTGAAGGTTTCATGCAGAATCAATCGCACTTTTTGGAAGATCTGAATACAGAGAATTGGTGTGCAGTATATCACAAGTTCCCCAAACAACACTCTGCAGGTTTAGAATTCAGAGGTTCCATCTCAGAGACTGGTTTCCACCCAAGGCTATAGGATCCTGTCTGTCCTGCTATTTTATAGCTGGGGAAGAGGATTCATACTTTTCCCAAGGGTATTAGCACCTAAGCGAATGTAATGGATCTGACTGGAAATAGAACTTGGCTCTCCGATTCATCAATCCAAGCTGCTATTCATTACTGCACCATACCACCTCATATATATATATATATATATATATATATATATATATATGGATATAACAAAATATATGGATATAAATCCGACAGTATGAAAGAAAATACAGAAAAAAACAAAATTCTAATATGGACAATTAATTTTAAAAAAAATTCAGTTATCGTCTGAATTAGTTTGGTCTATTTATGTCCATCTTCTTTGTGTTAAATTGTTTAAACATAATGTTAATTATGTTTAAATGAAAATGTCCATGAAGATGGTCTTTAATAGACCAAACGTCCGATGGACTTTATTTTAACATTAATAATGCATATTCAGAATTTTGTTTTTTTCTGTATTTTTCTTTCATATATATATATATATATATATAAAACACTCAACCTCTACTATAGTTTCCAGTTCTTGAGAGGGAAAGTGGCACCAGGTAGAGGCAACACCGAGAGGGAAAGTGGCACCCAAAAAGTGGACTGAAAAAGAAGCCACTGACAGATGTGATCAAGGAAGGTTACAGAGTAGAGCTGAATTGGAGAACAGAGAATGAAAGAAATTTGTTGTAATTTGCAAGAAAGAAAAGAAAATTGTGTAAAGACAGTGAGACAAAGCAGCACAACTCAAAGACAACTTTTTGGCAAGAAATGTAAATGGACAGAAAACTAGGAATAATAATGTGTGTATTTAAGACAAGAGAAAATGATGCCAGACATAACATATAAATTAAGCAATTTAGATTTTAAAAATGACCATGTCAGCTAAAGTACTTTTAATTAAGTTAGATTTTTATGAGTACAAGTTGAATTATTGGGAATGCTTACCTGAAAATGTCTTTGAGAGCAGACACTTTGTTGGCAGGGTACTTGCTGACCTTATCTTTATTGAGGAATGCCTCTGCATAAGCAAGAGGACCCGCATTCACCTGGGAGAAGAAAATATGAGAATAGAATAACAAGTTAAAAACAAACAATTCAAATAAATTTTATAAAAATAAATTTTACCAAAAACAAAATAATTTCCATGCCTGTATGTACAGTTGAAAGTACTTGCGTATTAAAGAAAGACCTAATACAGCTTATAATTTTAAAAAACAAGGATCATAACATTCATCGAGTGATTGGTAGGTTAATGCATCTTTAAAATTTTGTTAGCAAAGGGATTTCGCCATTTTATATCATTAACTTTACTAATTTAGTTTTTGTATGAATGATTTATTGTAATATAAATTAAACTGCACCACATATTATATATATATATATATATATATATATATATATATATATATATATATATATATATATATATATATTTAACAGTACATATGAGTACAAAGTATTGAAAACAAAGTATTTGAAGCAATGATTTATCCTGTTGGAGCTGACAAGATATTTGCCAATACCTTATATATATATCTTAGGATGGGGGGGGATTCTGCAAGACAAAAAAGAAAAAAATATTTTCAGATTGTTAATCAGCATTGTGTAGTTGTGAGATAAACATTTAATTTCCATAAAGAGTTTCCAATTTTGCTTTTCTGTGGATATTTTGAGGAAGAAACAAAAGAAAGAGTGAAAGTATTGGTTTAAGTTCTCTATCTTATGCATAGAATAAAGTGATTCTATTTAAATTTTTCAGGGTCCAAACTCACAAACAGCATTGGATCTCAAAAGATAACCAAAATTGAGCTCTTTTGATAGTAATGTCAAAGGGAGACAATTATACAACCCTAATCTATTCCTAAAATTTTACCAAATGATAAAACATGACATTTTTTTTTAACGACCTTTTTTTGACTGGGTTGGCCCAAGAACTTATTCACTCCTTGTGTGTGTGTGTGTGTGTGTGTGTGTGTGTGTGTGTGTGTGTGTGCATAAAAAGCAATTTCTAAAGAATTAATGATTTTATTTTTATTACTAAAAACTATTTTTAGTGGATAGCCAATATTTGAAATAGACACCCCATTTTTAATCCCTGTGTGTATTATTATTATTATTTTCAATGTGGCCTGAAGAAATCTTCACTCAAGAAATTTTAATAAAGAAAATATATATATACACTATTGAAAAAAAAAAAATGGCACGTCTATTTCAAACATGGGTATCCACTAACAATAACATTTGAAGTAATGAAAATGTCTGATTAAATATAAACTCATTAATTCTTTAGAAATTACTTTGTTTACACTTCCTATATGAAACTGAGCAGATGTGGGCTTTCCAGAAAAAACCTGAACCAGAAAATATTTTCCTTAAAAGGGTAAATAGAACATTGCTGGACTGTTTACTCTCTTCAACCAAGTGGTCTAAGGCGCACCAAATCAAATTGTGGTTTCTCCTACAATGGCAGATGCAGGTTCAATCCCTGTCAGAGAGTACATTTTCTTTAAGATTTTTTGAATATACAAGCTGATAGATGGAATACAAACTGTTTAAAATAAAAATGGGGCATCTATTTCAAATATGAGTATCCACTAAAAATAACATCTGAATAATATCTATCTGTATAAAGGTTAGGAAAAAAGGCTTCATCAATACTGGAAAGTGATAACAATGGACATAAGAAACCTATTTACCTGAAGAATTCTTTTAATAGAAAGATTTTATAAATTTCAACGGACTGGCTGTTTGGCTGGTCAATGAATGCCAAACATTTCCATATAAGGAAATGGCTAATATTACCATTACCACAACCCACAAACAAAAAATGTAAAAAAAATGACAAGGTCTTATTTTGTTACATTTTTTGAGTTTGTGTATAAGTTGTCAGTCATCTGGACCAAATTTATGAAAAAAATAAATGCTCAAAATCTCATGTTTTTACTAAAACATGAATTTCATCCAGATGTGCAGACTTACATGCAAACTGGAAAAATGTAAAATGAAAAATTGAGCAGGCAGATCTTGTCAGCAAATTTTAATAAAATTAATATTTCAATAAATCAATTCTTTCCACCTAGCATATTATTGGGAAAAGTTTGTAATAATTACTATTTGTAACCATTTAGTATAAGAATATAATTCCTCTTTTAGTATTAATGTCTAGGCAAGAAAAATATGTGCATGCTTTAAAAAAATTTCATTGAGGAAAAAAAATTAAAATTTCCTCTCCAAATCTATTTTCTACTTTTCATATCATTATCCATATTATTAGAAACGTACTATAAACAAATGGAATATATTTTGTACTTTTTATTTCAAGCGCCTGATGTAAACAAAAAAAGAATCATGCACACATATTCGGTGAAAATAAACTTTAATGAATAATTGACAAAGAAGACTGCAAAATTTCATTTAAGTGTAAGGAATCAATTTTTTGTGATTATAATTTGATTGTTTATCCAGTTAAAAGTAAGAAACAAATCTTTCAGATAGAATAATAGATTAGCTAAACAAATTCCTACAACAGATTTTACTTGTTAGAATTCTTCCTACATATTTATAAATCTATCATTCATCCATGCATTGAATATTACCTGCTATATTTGATCTGGTGATTCTGTTATACATCTCATGATTCTCAATCCAAAGAAATGTTTTAGTCTTATCAATCCAGACTTGACTTTAATTACTTTCCCACCATCATGATGTAGCTTTCTTCTTTTCTATAAATATTTTCATGGCTGACATATTGTTCTAATGAGCTTTCCTCCTTGCTACCTTGAGCACATGAATTTAAGTGTACTGCTAGATTAGTTACTAGGTCTCATCGTTTTACTATCGAAATAACTAAATGTAATGGTAAGTTCTATTCTAATAGTTTGTTTCATTGTACTTCTCAACTTTGGAATAATCTTTCAGTTTCTTACTTCCCTCCCACCTACGACCTTCCCTTGCCACATATGATTTCACCCGACATCTATGATCTTCAAAAATTTAAATACAACTCCAATCGCAATCTTCTGTCTTCTTTTATTGTCTTTTCTCTTCACTAAAGTCTTCTCATTCTCTTTCACTCCTAGGATCCCCTTGCATCTTAGTGGCATTATCACCTTGCTTGGGGCGAGAAATGATTACAAAAATGAAAAAAAAAAAAAAAGTCAGGGTACAAACAAAACAATGATTTCATTTTCTCTTAACATTTTCATATGATGATTAAAAGAATGATTTTTGTCATGGAAACAAAACAGAAAAGTTTTGTGGTTCATGTCTTTATAATGGCACTTAATACAACATTTGATAGCATATAAAAAACAATTTTTCTCCCTCATCTTCAAAATATCCATGGATATTATATGCAAAGTTAAAACAAACAATAAAATATTTGCCATAATATTCACTACTGAAATTGGGTGGGGTCTTACATGTCATTAATTAAAGCTATTTTGATAGTAAACAACCAGGACCAAAGCCAGTTTGTTAGTGTTACTTTTACTAACATTAGAAATTGTTCCTGTTTTAATTATAATGAAATATTATTAAAAAAAAAAATGACTATATATCTCTTTCACACAAAAAGCCCAAATTAAAAATAGGTTGCCATAATTCCTCAACTTCTAGTACCGAGTTAATTTGTTTACTTGTAAAATTCATAATACCCAATAATCAATATCTACAAGTAGATAAAGCTCATTTTAGGTAACTACCATAGTATATAATGTTAAGTAAGGTCATCTTATGGACCAATTTACTAAAGACAAGTTTTGGAACATAAACATTATACACTGGTTAAATAACCTTAACTCAATTTAGTATAAGTTCATAATATTCAGGTACCCAAAGAGGATATTGCTCTGCAGTAGGTGCCCTTTTATCAAACTTGTTGTACTGATGATTAGCAAATGTGACAATTGAGATTGTCCCAAAAAATGAAAAGAGGAAGAAAACACTAATTTTTTTTTTTGACATTTTATTTGTACAGCTTTTCCAGTCTCCTGCTTTTTGTAAGAAGTAATTGGTACAAATTGATGCTTCCTTTTGCGGGAGAGCAGAGCAAATTCATTCATCTCTGGGTGACACAAATGGAGACAGATGGGGGAAAAATATGAAAATGTAAAATAAATAGAATGAAATTAAAGGAAAAAATCTAGAATTATGTTTCCGAGTGAAGAATTGGTTATTCTTAAGAGTCAAGAAGAATGGTCAGAGAATAGATAAGATGGAAAGGAAGTCTAAGAGTGAGAGAGATTGAAAGAAGGAATGCATGGAGGGAGGGAGAAGGCCTGCAAGGAGAGAGAGTGAGAAGAGTGAGAAGAGTGAGAAGGCCCCACAGAGAGAGTGTGAGAAGGGAGAGAATGCCCACAAAGAGAGATAGAGCAAAGGAGAAGAAGGTCTGCAAAGAGAGAGAGAGAGACTAAAGAAGAAGAAGAAGGTCTGCAAAGAGAGAGAGAGAGAGAGCAAAGGAGAAGCAGGCCTGCAAAGAGAGAGAGAGCAAAGGAAGAAGCAGGCCTGCAAAGAGAGAGAGAGAGAGCAAAGGAGAAGCAGGCCTGCAAAGAGAGAGAGAGCAAAAAGGAAGAAGCAGGCCTGCAAAGAGAGAGAGAGCAAAGGAAGAAGCAGGCCTGCAAAGAGAGAAGAAGGAAGAAGCAGGCCTGCAAAGAGAGAGAGAGCAAAAGAAGAAGCAGGCCTGCAAAGAGAGAGAGAGCAAAGGAAGAAGCAGGCCTGCAAAGAGAGAGAGAGCAAAGGAAGAAGCCTGCAAAGAGAGAGAGAGAGAGAGAGAGCAAAGGAGAAGCAGGCCTGCAAAGAGAGAGAGAGAGAGAGAGAGAAGGAGAAGCAGGCCTGCAAAGAGAGAGAGAGAGAGCAAGGAGAAGCAGGCCTGCAAAGAGAGAGAGAGAGCAAAGGAGAAGCAGGCCTGCAAAGAGAGAGAGAGAGCAAAGGAGAAGCAGGCCTGCAAAGAGAGAGAGAGAGCAAAGGAGAAGCAGGCCTGCAAAGAGAGAGAGAGAGCAAAGGAGAAGAAGGCCCACAAGGAGTGCGGGAGTGAGGGAGAAGGCCTGCAAAAAGAGAGTGAGAAAGCCGCATAAGAGGAAGGGAGGGAGGGAGAATGAGAGGGAGAAATGAAGAAAATTGAAGCAAGAGAGAAAGAGAAAGAGAAAGAATGTATGGTATAAAGAAGATAAAACAAAGTTGTCTGAAGAAAAAATGGATTAATGCCTTTTCTAAGGGGATTTGTGTGAAAGTAAACACAAGAGATGAGGGAGGAATTGAACTTGGTTCACCAATTCCATTTTACACACCAACAACTGTTATGCACCTATTCACCTTGTCACTTATTAGTTATTTTACAATGGGTTGTACATAATCCAAACACTTATCTGCAGGGAAAGGGAGAGAGAAGAGGACAAGGAGAGAGAGAGAGAGAAGAGGACAAGGAGAGAGAGAGAGAGAGAGAGAAGAGGACAAGGAGGGAGGGAGGGGGGGAGAGAAGAAGGGACAAGGAGAGAGAGAGAGAGAGAAGGAGAGAGAGAGAGAGAGAGGGAGAAGGAGAGAGAGAGAGAGAAGAGGACAAGGAGAGAGAGAGAGAAGAGGACAAGGAGAGAGAGAGAGAAGAGGACAAGGAGGGAGAGAGAGAGAGAGAGAGAGGACAAGGAGGGAGAGAGAGAGAGAGAGGGACAATGGGGGGAGAGAGAGAGAGAAGAGGACAAGGAGAGAGAAGAGAGAGAAGAGGACAAGGAGGGAGGGGGAGGACAAGGAGGGAGGGAGGGGGGAAGGGAGGGAGGGAGGGAGAAGGAGGGAGGGAGGAGAGAGAAGAGGACAAGGAGGGGAGGGTAGGAGAAGGAGGGAGAGGGAGAAGGAGGGAGGGGAGGAGAGAGAAGAGGACAAGGAGGGAGGGAGAGAGAGAGAAGAGGACAAGGAGGAGGGAGAGAGAGAGAAGAGGGACAAGGAGGGAGGGAGAGAGAGAGAGAGGACAAGGACAAGGGAGAGAGAGAGAGAGAGAGGACAAGGAGGGAGGGAGAGAGAGAGAGAAGAGGACAAGGAGGGAGGGGAGGAGAAGAGGACAAGGAGGGAGGGAGGGAGAGAGAGAAGAGGACAAGGAGGGAGGGAGAGAGAGAGAAGAGGACACAAGGAGGGAGGGAGGGAGAGAGAGGACAAGGAGGACAGGAGGGAGAGGAGGGAGGGGGAGGGAGAGAGAGAAGAGGACAAGGAGGGGGAGGGAGAG